TTTCCTGAAAGAAATACTCTTTTTCCCAAGCCAATATATGACTATAAAAAATTTAATAAATTAAAAGAAAATGGTTAAATCAAAAATTTAAATTTAAAATATATAATTAATAAATTAATCTCAAACTAAAATAATATAAATAATAAATACATTATAAAACAAACAAAACAATTCAGCAACAACATTTACTTATTCTCATTTATTAGACATTAAATTACATCACTTAGCATCATCCATAATTTACCTTGACTTTCAGTCAGCTTTAAGTGTATTTATTAGCGTTCTTAAATTTAAAAATTCTGTAATATTAACATTTTTACTTCTGTATATAAATACTACTTGCAAAAAAAAATCCTCAAATTTGCCTTGCTAAAGTCCATTGGTGGATGAAATGTATCAGCTAAGATAAGTTTCCTTTTGTCTTTGTTTATATATATATATATATATATATATATATATATATATATATATATATATATATATATATATATATATATATATATAAAATCATGTGTCTCCCCACCCCACTGCCGGTTATAACTTTGTCTTTAATCAATCCTATTTATTCTTCTTGTCTAGGAAATTTACCTGAAGAACTGTACAAAATTTCTAATCTTAATCTGGGATTATATCAATCCTGTATTTATATTCCTAGGATGATTTAATCCATTTGTCTTCAAAAGCATCCTGGTTGTCAACCAGCCACTCCTTTTACTGCCATTAAGAGATTTCTGGCAACGTTTCTATTTTACCTTACTTTTCAAAAAGTTGTGTTACACATTAAACTTCTGGTGATGGTTGACTTCCCATCCAGAAGACCAAAATATTTAATATAAATATGTAATATTGGATAACACTTTAAAAGAGTGCATTTCATTGGCAAGTGATATCACATAAGTATGTTTTCATATTGCACAGTAACACTTTTTTTTCTAATACTATAACCTCCTAGGATGTGGGTGATCTAAGCTCTCTACAGATTCTTTTTTTTTCATCTGATAATTGTTATAATTCCTTGGGTGAGATAGTGAAGTTGAAGTTGTTTCTCATTGTTTTCACCATGGTTTTGAATTCAGAACCATCACACTCCTGGGCTAGCTGCCACCCTAAACTGGAGAAATCAGTCTATCCTGCTATTTAAACCAAGCTTGGGGGGAAAAAAAGTAATCAATTATTTCTGTAATTTTGTCTATACCAAAATCATCTTAGCCTGTCAACATCTTTGTTACATTTCCGTCTAGCCTTGTTACCTTGTTTCTGTTCGCTTTGGCCAGAGGAACTTCTACTTCAGATTTTAAAATTTCAGGCCTGTCTGTAATTCTGTGTATTGCTGGTTGTTCTCTTTTGTTGTGGAAGAGTTCTTCAATATATTCTTTCCAGCACTGAAGAATTTTTTCCTTCTTTAATATGAGCGTTCTATCCTTGGATCTTGTACAGCCTGTCAACGAGCATGTCCTCTGTCCTGTTATTTCCCTTATTTGTTTATGCGTATCTATCTTTTTTGTCTGTGGTACTCAATCTCTTTATTTCTACACATTTTTCATTTAGCCACTATTCTTTAGCCTGCCTTCATTTGATCCTTATTTTGTTATGTAATTTGTGTATTCCATTCTGTATCTTGGCAAAATTTTCTGTCTCATTTGCATTATATAGAGAATCTCATCTGTGATCCATTCATTTCTTTTCTTCTTCATTCATTCTCCTTTGGAATGATATCATTTGCTGATGTCACTGAAGCTTCTCTTAGTATGTCCCATTTTGAGTTTCCATTTCCATTTTGTCCCTTATATCTTCTTTTCACATTGTCCATATATTTTTCCTTCAGGTTTGGGTCATTCTGGAGTTTGTTGTATTACAATTTGGGATCTGTGTTAGGTTTCTTCAGTTTCAGTAGTTTTCACTCATAGTTTACATCTAACCGAGTGATGGTCGCTTCTGCAGTCAGCACTTGGCTAGGTTTTGCAGTGAACCATTGCATACCTGAATCTTTTGTTGATAGTTATGTAGTCAATTTGATTTTTAGTTTCTTCTCTTGAGCTTCTCCATGTCCATAATTGTCTCAGCTGTTCTTGGAACCATGTGTTGGTCATTAGCCATGCACCATTGGACTCATTTTTCACCACGTTCATTGTGGGTTCCTAGTCCAAATTTGCCAGCTATCTCCCCTGCCTACTTTGGCATTCAGGTCTCCCATGATAATTATGACTTCTTGTGATAGAATTCCAATTTGGTGTCTGATGATGAAAGGGGAAAATTTGATACTTGCCAGGTGAGAAATTTTCAAAGAACAACGCACTTCTGAAAACAGTGAATTTTTAAAAACAAAAAGCAAGACAACATCGAAAAAGAAGGAAAGGAAAGGGAAAGTCTTTTTGAAAGCATTTCAACCTTATTTAAAGAAAAAGCAAAAAACAACTGTTTGACCTTAAATGATCTCTTGCTGATTGATGGGTCGTTAAGTTTTAAACAAACAAAGACTTCTTATGATTTGCAATGAGCCTTGATATCTAGGATCAAGTAGAAAGATTTCTTTCATCTTTCTGTGTTCTGTTAGTGCATACACTATTATGATAGCTATGTTGAAAGGTTTTCCTTTCAGTTTGACTACCAGAATTCTTTTGGATAATTGATAGTATCCCAGAATGCATTTTTTGAATTCATGATCTAAAATCGAACCTACTCTTTTATCATTTTTCTCCAAAATCTCCATTAACCTAAGATGCTAATATTTAGCCTCCTCATCTCCTGTGTTTATATTGTTCAACATCCTAATTTTCCATGTTCCAACAGTTATTTTTTGTTTGATGTAAGCAGTCGCTGGATGACGGTCCAGTGACACTTGTCACTCATGTCACTCCTTTCCAGGCTTGGGATAGGTTCCAGGGAATTCTATCCCGTTTATGCTAGCAGTCATTGGATGACGATCAGGTGACACCTGTTGCACATGTCGGTCCTTACCAAGTTAATTCCCATAGACCCCTTCACACCATTAGGTTTCATAATGTGAGTGTTATTTGGCATGATGTGTCTTGGGATTAATAACAAGCCACCTCACATGCAAGAACATGGTGGAGGTAGCCAGTTTAGTCACTGACATACAACAATGAAATACTTACCCAATATATATATATATATATATATATATATATATATATATATATATATATATATATATATATATATATATATATATATCTGATTGAATAAATTACAGACATTATATCTGCTAATTTTAATAAAATCCATTCATACTCACAAATAACCTTCGTGTATTGATGTTAAAAGATGAGAGAAATGTGCTATAGCTGTTTAAATTTCTTTTATTTTTATTTCCCAAGTACTTTCAAATCTTTTCCAAAGATCATCTTCAGGGGTGCAAGTGGTAAAAAAAAAAAAAAAAAAAAAAAAACGATCAAAAGTACTTGGGAAATGACAAAAGAAATTTAAGCAACTACAGCACATTTCTCTAATGTTTTAACATCAATACATGGAAGATTATTTGTGAGTATGAACGGATTTTGTTAAAAATTAGCAGACATAATGTCTATAATTTATTCAATCAGACATGTCTAAAAGAGAATTTGCTGCCTAAAATACACAAATTTTAAATATATATATATATATGTGTGTGTGTGTAAGTCCCACATGCAGATATGAATACATATATGCACAGCAGCAGGAGAGGAATAAAGAAAAAGACACACAGAGAGTTAGTAAGGTAGCAGAAGAATGGTAAGTTAGGAGAACAGAATAAAATGATTAAGTTTTAACTTAGTATAAGTCTGATTAGTTACTATTAAAACAATATGCGATTGAAACTAACATTAACCTAACAGGCCCAGGAAAAACAATAAGAACTAAACAGATAAATAAAAATAAATCTTAAAATTAGAAATGAACACATACATTACATTCAGAAAAGACAGGATTTGACCATGATGGTTGGCATGAAATTTTTTTCTTTCTTTTAAAGAAAAGAAGAAATTTTTGGCATCTAATGTGTCTTGATGTACAGCTCAGCTGATTTCATTTGGTTCCCCTATCGCTCTGTTTCTGGAAAACGAGTATAATGTTCACCAGTCTCCAGGAACAAACTGCCCTGAAACAAAAAGTCAGCTCTTTTTATCCTTCCTTGGTCTCGGGCAAGAAACCGAGATCTCTCGCTTGTGTTAGCCTCGTTCTCACCGATAACACATATGCTGTGGCATTTCAATATTAATTTGCCAAAGTTCACCTCGCAGGTCTATGATGTCTCCAAGCACATGTACAGACAATTCGCCTTCTCTTGCTTCAGCAAGGTATGTCTACACTAGATCAAAACAAACACCAATGTCAAGTTGTAGTAATTTTATGTTAATGGAAATCGGGCACAAACTTTTGCAGTGATCTGATATCTATATACAGACAATTCTGTATGTATATAAAGTTTTAATAATAACATGTGTAATTAGTGTTCTCTTGTGAGAGAATTAATTTCATTGTCTTTCTCGTTAGTTCTTTGATGTTCACTTTGGCAGCAATAGCTCTTCTACTTGTTCTCCCATGCTCTTACCATTTGTCCAACACAGAAAACCTAAACTCAACTATGCAACTATTGTAGGATCTAAAACAATTCCTCCTTCTCGCATTGGTAATGTGACTTTTTATATTCTTTTCAACAGTCAGAAATTTGCATGTTACCAGCAAAATCTTGTATTTGCGAAAATGTAACATTCTTAATATTTGTCTTATGAGTACCCATCTTTCTCTTCCCCCCTCTCGATTTATTTACGTTTGAAGTCTTTGTGTCAGCAGTAAATCATTAAATTTCTTTATTTGCTCTTTTTTTCAGTTCTCTAACTACAGTATGTATGTAAAGTTTCATTGTATATTTATATAACTACTATGTGAGTATATGTATATAAGCTTAATAATATGCTGTCAAGATAATGACTCATACCTTTGAGTTCTTCAAAAATGAAGCACTTCAAATACTAACTCTTCATTCTTTGTGCTTGCAGGGCTTTGCTCTCCAAAGGTATCATGATAAAACAGTACTTGAATAAACACCAGCAAATCATACACAAGGTAAGTCATTGTTCTCTCTTGTAATTGATTTCAGTCATTTTACATAGTTAATTTTACAACTCTGGATAACACGTTCATTTTATTTACTGAATTTTACAACACTAGATAAGCATCCTGATGATAAACTACATCCAACAGCAAGGCCTCTGATCAGGTGGTTTTGAGGAACATGGGACCCACCTCTTAATTGCTGGTGTTCCCAGGTTCACCCTGACCCGGGGTGGTAGCGCCTATTAGGGCCCCCCTTAATTCATATAGTTGACCCCCAAACTGGGGTCAAAATACTATGAAAGTGTAAAAATAGTTTTTAATACCAGAAATACTTTGTAAAAACTTATTACCAGCAAAAAATTTTTGAAGAAAAAAATTATTACCAGCAATACATTTTTGAAAAAATATTACCAGAAATAGATTTTTTTTAAGGAAAAAAATATTACCAGCAATACATTTTTGAAGAAAAAAAAAAATTACCAGAAATAAAAATTTTGTTGGCATTAAATAACCCATTGAGGTTGATATGTTGTAAAACAAACCAAACAACACTAGATAACCCTTTCATTTTACAATTCATGATAACCTTTGAGAATGTCTTTAGATATGTTTTTGCATGACATTTTTTGCTATAAAAATCATGTGCAGACTCCACTGCTGTTTTGTTTCTGGTAACAGTTCTGTTTCTGTCTGAAGACCTAAAAAGAAAACTAATTCATATGCTTCTTGACTTTAGGGATAGAAACAATTTCACCTCCTGTATAAAACATCACCACTTCAGTATGTCAAAATTTAATATAATAGCTGCCCACTTGTATTCGAGGATACCTGTCTACTAGGGTGGCTAGCCAGTCCCTATTGCAGACTCTCGTTCAGGCACATTTGTTTGTTCAACACCCACAGAGCCAACCTCTGGTTTATACTGCAACTATGCTGAGCAGACCATAGTTACACTCAGTCATGATGACTTGTGACTTTTAGCTAGACTAGCTATGGATGACCCCATGTGTTCCATCTACCCAATTTCACTCACAAGGCTTGGGTCAACCCGTGGTATAGTTTTCAGGCACTTTCCAAAGGTGCCACATGCTGGGATCAATCCCTCTCCAGACTGATATCATCAGGAAGTCTCCTTCCTGACAGATGGTGAGATTTGAACCCAGGTCTCATGGTCAGAAAGCAAACATTGTAACCACTTGGCTACACACCCATAGATTTACCCTTATATTTAAATATCATCCTGTATATTTTTCTTCTCTCTCAATGCCATGTCTCTTCAGGAGATAGGAAATCATTATTCACCACAGCTTCCTTTTTCTTTATATCTTTAAGTTATGCTTTGCCTTGATTGTTCTTGGAAAACATAGTTGAGTAGTTTTCTCTATAATTTTGTATTTCAAGTTGTCCTTTTCTTAGATTGGTTACAAATCAAGATGACAGATCCCAGTCTACTATGCAATCTCACTCATGGTGGAGTGGAGAAAAGATGTTCTCAAAGGTATAGATGCAAAATGAACACAAACTGTCTCAGCTATAATTTGAACTCTGCTCAGAAATTTCATTTTTCTCACTGTTAACCATTTCTCCACTTGTACCACCATAAGTTTCCCTTCCTCATTTAAAATTGTTATTTTTCTCCACATAAAAATAGTTGCCCTGTCAACTTCATCCTACACAAAAGAGGTCACCTCCTTTATGGCTGTATATGCAGGTATAGGCTCCACAATGTTTTGACTCTAGCATGAACTCCGACCCACGTCTAACTATGTCTTAATTTATTGTGATTTTTGTTCCACAAGAAATATTCAACTTTAAATTAAGCAACCTCACCTAGCATGCATATATACAAACACAGAGAGATCCTTTGCCAAGCAACATGCTGAATGCATCAGTTATTCATTAATGAATGTGACCATAATTACAATTTTAAAATGTGGTGCTTTAATTAAAAGGGAAAATAAGTTACTATGGGGAAAATGTATAGAAAGTGCATTGATTTCTGAGGCTTTTGTGATAAATTTGTGTCAAAGTTCATTTAATATTTTACTTTTCTTAATAAATCTTTTGTTGTGGAAGATGTACAAACAATGACAAAAACAACAAAGGAATTAGGGAACCAAATGAAATCAGCTGAGCTGTACATCAAGACACATTAGATACCAAAAATTTAGCATCCCTATATCTTAAGCGTTTTCCTTCTGTTCTTAATTATAACTGACATTTATGGTTATATTTTCCCTCCTCCACTTACACACATATATGTGTTTGTGTGTGTATGTGTTTATATATAATTCCCTGAATAAGAACATTAGTTTAATGAAGGCTTTTGAAAGAATAAAACAGGTTACATCAATGATTTTTCCATTCTGCTATCCTACATTGTTCTGATATATTAGGGCAGGCAAATTTTAGAAGTGTGGTATTGCATTCAATTTGAAAGTTGAGGTTTCACATGATAAACAAGGACACAAAATATTTTTCAAATCTTTAAATTTGTTTCCTCAAAAAAAAAATGATAAAGATATTAAGTTTAAGTTCAAAGTGTTGGAATTTATTCTGGTGATCAGTGAAAGCCTTATAGCACAGGATTATAAAATATACAACTGTGTAAAGCTTCAGTAAATTATACATGGATAAGATTCATGGCACAAGCACATTATTACTAAATCATTGTGTCATCAAATAAGACCTTCATTTATTTCAAAGGGAAATTATAGTGAACAATTTAGCTATATTATAATGTAATGTATATACAGTGCAGTAGTTTTAGTGTAATTTTTTAAAATAATCCAAATTTAAAACCTTTTCTCTTATAATTTGTGCCCAGCAGTATTATGGTGTTATATACATTTTTATCTAATTTTGTTTTCATTAATTATGATCTAACAAATCTTATTCATTGATTAGCCTTTTTTGCAATTTCTTTTTACAGTTTTTACTTATCTAATACAGTAAAACAAATTGCATATTTTGCTTGTGGTGATTTATAATTAGAATTATAGTTTGAATATATTTTCCATTCAATGTGTTTAATACAAAAAATATTCACCTTATTTGATTTTTGAAATAGTAAAAATTTGAAGTCAGTTTGCTAAGCAAAAACCTGTGAAATTTAGGTATTTCTGTATATTTTTTTTTTCAGACGAACTTTAAGTGCTCAAAAATTGGTAAAAGCTATGAATCTTATCACATCAAACCCCAGCTTTCCACGCAAAGTACAATGTTGATTTTCTAAAAAAAAATAGAAAGTCAAAAAAAAAAAGTCAACCTTCCTTACTGATATATATATATAAATTTCTACATATCATATTCTCCCATAAATGTTTATAAACATGATAGTTTTATCTATGAAAATGCTTCTTTTTTTCTTAGTGTTGTAGATTATGAAATATCAGCCCATCTTTTCATGCAGCCTTCATTTTGAGATTCAGTTTCTAAATTTGAAGATCATTTGTCAAAGAGATTCTTATCTTTCCTCCAGTATGAAATGATAGAAGATTACAACATCTGTTCTGGGTTTTGTTTATAAAGTTTCCCAGCTGCTGACCCTACCTTTGGTGGACCTTTCTGCCTACTTACCCCAGCCAACTTTTAATCCACAATAATACATTTATTTTAGTTCGGCTTTGTCAGGTACAAGGACAAGCAAATATGGGAGAATGTTTTGATTCTTTCTACTCTGATACACGGAAAACTTGCTGAAAAATACATTTGCTATGGTTTTGCAAGATGATCCAGTTAAGGAATATTTTATATATATATATATATAAGACATTTTTATGTTTATACATTCTTTTTTTTAAGATACAAATATTTAAGTAAATGCTCTGTTTATAATAAACAGTATTAACAACATTTACCAACCTAAATGTCCGAGAAATTGTCATAGAAAATATGCATCCTCCAACAGGAATCGAACCTGTATCCTATACAGAACCGTCATATAGCCTGACATGCTTTTACCAATTTGCCATAGAGGAGCGTTCGGTTAGCAAGGTCAATTTTACTGTTTTTAAACTACAATCTTCCATGATTCTCTCATGAACATTCATATTTGCTCAATGCGTATCCAAATGTAAACAAATGATGTCACACATTATGAAACGGACAAAGTCCAACAATTATTTTTAAGACATTTTTATGTTTATAAATACAAATATTTAAGTAAATGCTCTGTTTATAATAAAAAGTATTAACAACATTTACTGGCCTATCGGAGTACACATATTTTCTATGACAATTTCTCGGACATACATACATACATACATACATACATTATATAAAGAAAACTTTTTTTTAAACTATGATTTTTTTTTTACATTTTTTAATTAAAGGAGAATTACTTGTTATTTAAAAACAAAAAACATGAATTTATATTCAAAATATATGATGAAAATTAAACTGCAATTAACATTAAAAAATTAATCTGCATCAATATATTTAAGCAGATATTTATTTTTATGCCTACATGTAACCATCAATTCATTTCTCTTTTTAAATAAGTTAGGGATTTAAATGTTTTAAGATAACCAACTTTTCAACACAACATAGGTTAGATTTATTTCCTTTATCGTTATAAGCATTATCTCTAGATATAATTTTCCAGTTGATTGATAGTGAGATGCCATTCTTCTTTAATTGCCAGAAATATTTGTGAGAGAGCAGTGCTGTTTTTGTAATCTAAATTACTTAAGGTCATTTGATGATAGTAAAAACAAAATTTCCAAGGATTGTCCATTGAACCAAAATAAAATTTAACATTGTTACTGGAATGTATGCTCACTCAGTTTACAATATTATCAGTCATACATTGACCATTTACGGGACAGAATATATATATATAATCTATATATCTGATATAGAACATGTTATAATTTCCATATTTTTTAGTATTCTAAAATAGTTTTATGAAAATTAAAACGCAAGAAATAAATAAATGTCCTATTTTCAACTTTATACAGATGTGGTCATTCTATGGCATTCTCCATAACAGCAGTTAATAACTTTGG